TTTACAGCAAAAACCTATAGTGGGATTGGAAAGGAGGGACAGAGGGACAGAGGGAGTCTGATCGGCTCTGGAATGTTGAAGACAGAGTCCCGTGGCAACAGCAATGACTCGACAGCATGCCCATGGCAAGAAGGACGACAGGCAGAAAAAAGGGCTTGGTCACCAATCGTGGACAGAGAGGAGGTCCCTCGTGACAGAAAGCCACCGACTCCACAACCGGCGGTGGCGGCTCTGGCAAAGAGCGGCACTCTGGGAGACCACTGTACGCCAGCTGACTTCGTACAGTAGGCTGGCTTTTTTTGAAAAGAGCTTCGGCGAGCTCGGCCACTGTACAGCAGGCTGTGGTAAAACCGAACACACCAGGTCCTGTTTGAAAAAGATTATACCAGCATAGACCCCAAATAGCAAAAACATGCAAAATATTTTTCTGGATTGCACCCTGCATTGGCAGCAGCTCCAAAGCACCCAAAGGAACCCTGTTTACAGTGGAAAAAGAAAAGCACACCCAGCACCAGCACCCAGCACCGGCACCCTGTCTCCACCACGCGCACAGCCAGCTCACAGCACCCAGCACGAGCACCACAGCCAGAATGGGCACCCTGTCTCGAAAGCGCGCACAAACAGCTCATTGTTATTTGAAGTAAGAACCCCATAGCTGTCGCTATTTGGGAGTTGTGCTTGCAGAGTCCCCCATTCATTGTGTAATTAAGTAATCATTCTAATATCACACAACTATAATAGGACCCCGTAGACCCCAGGACCCCCTAGCATAGGCCCTAGGCTCGGGGGACGCCTATCTAGCTCGTCCATACGCAGGCCTCGCACGCCTCGACAGGCCCGGTCTGACCGATGGACTCATTCTGGGAGGGAATCCACGTACACAAGTGCTGGAAAGGGGCGGTCCAAACGCCGACTTTTGGACGGCTCCGTTTCGAGGTGCTATCTGGAGGTGTTTTTGGAAAAACGGGCCCATGATAGGCCGGTAGGCCTATGGACCCCCTTCCCTACAACCCGATAGGCCTATGGACCCCCTAGCCTTGGACCTGTGATAGGCCCCAGCCTAGGCTACCCCTCGGGACTTCATTGCTCACACAGAAGTACCTCCTCTTATCATTCAAGGCCGATAAACATCAAGACCGGCTGCAAGTGGAGAAAGGTTGGCCTCATCTCTTGGCGACCGGCCGTTTCGATCCCCCTCAATCTTGGCAAGTTGTTCACCAAGGTCAGAAGCCATTCGAGAAGCCCGGTTGGTCCGGGCCTGGTGAGCGCGAGCCGGGCTGGAGGACTGGAGGAGGACTGGAGGAGTTTAGAGCGACTTCAAGATCAGCCCAGAGCCAACTTCCAAGTCCATGACACCAACTGGCAGATGCATTCGGTCATCTGCCATTGCAAGTAGTTGAGACAGAGCGGCAACTTGCAAATCAGGGATGTCTTGAACTGCAATCGCTTGGCGACGCAACATCTTCAGAATGGGTGAGTGTGAATGAACGCACATGAATACAGTGATTGGGCATTGTGCTCTTGCAAAGTCTGAACCATTTCCTGTATTTCCTCATTCTTGGCAGTCATGTTCACAAACATCCTCATCAATTCTGGTGATTCTGCTTTGTCGTGAGCTTGCAGTTCAAGAGATCAATTTATGTGACAGAGTGACCAGTAGACAAATAAGAGAATAGGATTCATGGTCACTCATACCGAAACATACAAAAAACATCCATGTATGATTGAATATTGACCTACATTGACCCGTTTGCAACGCCTTAAAACATCTTAAAACCACCCCCAATGCAGGTAACACCACATGGATCGGGATCGGGTTCCTGGAAAGTTGCTCGATCCCTTGGACTGGAAGTTTGATCATATTTGTTTTCTTTGTCCAAAATAGGGGTCGGACTCAGGTTCCAGATATGGAGAAACTTAGAAAAAATTTGGTTGTTCCTCTCAAGACTCGCCAATGTTTGGCGTTCAACGGCTGCCCAAGCTCCTGCTATCTCCTGCTCATGACCCCGTTGCTTGACTTCCATTTCGGAGGTATCTAAATCTATATAAATGGTATAGTTCGCCAATGTTTGGAAGACGGACAAGCCACAGTGGACCTAGCGTTCAGACTGTATTTTTGATGTAAATACTAATACACATGTCATGAAAGTCGGATCGCCGGTCCATCACCGCCCAGGCTGAGTGGTGCGACGACCTGCAAGAGGAGGTTCTTTCAGAATGAGGTTGTGAGAAAACAGGAGTTCAAGGCGCAGTTTTTCGAAGGGTGTCGGCGGAACAAAGTGGTGGTCTTGCTTGGACGGACTTGTTTTTTTGCATCCTGCTCGTACCATTGGAAATCCACACGTGAAGGAACGATAAGGAACGTCACCTATTCCGGACATCTCTGGATCAGTTTTTTGATCAGTTGTTTGTTGACTGTTTTGTTTTTGAACCACTGGTTGCTTACGAAGATCCATGGGTGACTGGATATGCTAAGGAACAAGAGAAGCAGAATGGTTTTTTTCGCAGTGTCCTTCCACTTTGGTGGCTTTCCTTTCAATTGTCAAATCGCTATTAGCTTGGAGGCCGTCGCTACTAGTAGCAAGAAGCTAGTACGAACAAGAAGCTACTGTACAAGGTTGGAGGCCATCGCTACTAGTATCGGTGGTTTTTCAAGTCGGTCTTTCTTGTTAGGTCCATCGGTCGTCAGTGACGGGGTACCGGTGGTAGCCGTCGCACAAGACGCGAGCTGCATCATGTATTGCACTGGACCTGTTCCGACCACTTTGGGGCGGCTGCAGCCTCTTCGCAGGTGCCTGGGCCCTGAGAAACTTCTGGGAACTCTTTGGGGGTCATGCTAGGTGTACATCCCTTTCTTATATTTCATCTATTAAGGTGACGCTAGCTGTGGAGTTGAAATGTTACCAGGGGACCAATGCCAAGGGGCTCCACTTTGCTGCATGCTGCATGTTTGCAACAACGCGGCAGGCCTGTGGCATGAGGTACTGCCAGACAGATGGTGGAAAGACGGCAACAAAGGTGAATGGAGAGAATGCCTGGCCTGCTTAATATACCACACCAATCCATTGCCGCCACCTTCCGCTTCAGTATGAAATCGGAGTTGTCGCATAGGTATCTGCGGAAAAGGATAGGCCGGACATGGATGGACAAGCTTATGGTGGACCTAACTGCATGGTTGAGGAATCGTTGGAAGATATTGCATGGGGGTGGTGCAAAAACTACAAGTGCTCACCAAACACTCCTTTGTTTGAGGCTGGCCCACCAGCGAGGCTACCTGTTTAAGGTGCCCCACAACACACCATTCCCTATGGGGATGACCAGTTGGTAGGCTATCGTGCTTGAGTGGGCTGGGGCATTGAACAAAGAAGTATCTGAATCGTTTTGCGATGTGAACCTGGGCTTCACAAGGAATATGAATGTGGTCAGTTCTCGTTGGCCAAAGGCGTTCGGCTTTGCGTGTGCAGCACACAATGTGGGTTTCAAGTTTCACAACACTGAATATTTTCTAGGACTGTGGTTTTAGTCTTTGGAGCCACTGGTTACCCTACAGTGGTACCTGGATCCCTGAGACTGTATGTATCAGTAGTATGGGCAATCGTGCTTTGTCCGGTTCGCCCAGTCACTCGCAGTCCAATGCTTTTGGAGCAAAACGATGGGAACTAACTGGCGCATCCAACAGGTTCCTTGAGAAGTGGTTCTATTGCATGTTGCTCCTCACGTTAGGCCTCTATAACCATCAAGCCGCAAGCTGTTCTTTCGCTTTCTGTCCATGGCGTCATGATGATTTTTCTGGAATCCGGGAGAACCCGTTGCAAGAGGGTGGCTTTTAAGACGAACCTATTGGAGGAGCGATGAACACCCAGCAGGACGAGGTAAGAGGTCCCTTTCAGCACCTCCGACCAAAACCAGTGGATTTGACCTCCCAAATCCGGGAAGCCGTGGTCTTTGATGTACTGGGGATCTGCCACAAGAAAACGTTCCGCATGTTAGACGTTCGCTCATTTTGCTTGTTTGGTGTATCATGCCACCAAGCTATCTGGACCATCCAAGAAGGAGTCCCATGGAAACGCCATGGGATGTCGCGTGGTGTAGTCAGCGTTCGGTGGCCATCGTACCACATCTCAGCAAAACAGCTCGGGAAGCTCTGTGCTAGAATCCCACAAGCACTCTGCTAGAGTCGGGAACGACTAGCTATACCACTTTTCACCCACGGACTGTGAATGTTCACCCAGCAAGAAATGGGTTTTTTAGCAGTCAAACATCAAGTTTGGGATGTCGTTGGTCTGGCCCTAGAAGTAGCCTCCCAAACTCTCTGATCAGCCAGGCCCCATTGCCAATCCAACCATCCCGGACACAATCAGTACCACAAATGGGTGCGCTTTGGGCTGCGGCTGTGCTGGGGAGTGGGTAGATGGATTGTGGCACCAAAGGAAACACGGAGACTTGAATCGACACAGAGACTCGAATAACGGAGGGAATTGGGTTCAGTGACATAAGTGGCAAAGATTGGTTCGAAGATGCTCGAAGGGAAGGATGAGTTTGGAATCAGAATTTGTTACTTACCAGAGAGACTAATCCGTTTGGTGATGTTTGGTGTGTGCGCTCCACATGTGAGCTAGGTTCGATTTTGGAATTTTCTTGGGAATCATAATCATCAATGATATTCAATGATCTGAGCTTGGCACTGAGAGGTCAAATGGAGATGTCTTTCCGAAGCGGAAGCCACGGGCTCTGTTGCCCACAAAGAGCGAGATCCTTTGGTCCTGGATAGGTTGGAGGAACAAGCATCCACCGAATCAAGAACCGAAGTTCGAGCTGATCAGGATTCCTTCGTCAAGCATCGGAACGAAGCTTCCCCGTGTGAAATGAATCATTTGATAACCATTGCTATGTGGACCCAGGTGGAAATCGACCCATATCGACCCTATTAAGGGTCCAAGTGGTTCATTGATCACCGTATACTGGAGAGAAGCCTGGCCTCGCCTCCCACCGCTGACGTCGGACTGACGTCGGACGCCGTCGGTGCGCGAGGTCTTGTTCGACACCCGCTTCGCCTCGAAGTTGTTCGGGGGCCCCGAGTCGCGTGGGAAGGCGAGGAGGGAAGCTCCATGGAGTTCGTTCGTTGAACGGAACAGAGAGAACAGGACAGAGAGGACGTCTGAATGGTCTAGAAATCCACTCGTCGTCAGGGTCTTGGTTCGGAGGTGGATTTTCAGGTCCAGTGCCGCGGATAGCCAGAGTTCTTCGTGTTTGGCTTCATCCACACGGAGTCGTGGGCACTCCGAGTTGGGGCCCCCCCGAGCTCGGGAACATCACCACGTCCTTTGTGAACTCCCTGTGGTACAGGTCTTTAACAAAGTGAAACGACCGACTGTGCAGCAGCACACAGTTTGCGTGGTTCATAGACCTGACGATGTATTTTAAATTCCAATCACATTCAATAACCACCAGTGGGTGGTGCTGGGTTGGCAGGACTGGTGGTGTTTCGACTCCTCCAGTCCTCCGTCCTCCCAGGTCTCGCCGTTGGAAGCGGAGGAAGATCCGCGACGACGTGGAGGCTCAAACGCCCGGCGCCGCAGGAAGATCGGCGGAGCGGACCGGAACTAGAACGCCGAAAGGGCATGGTTTCGGTGTGATTCCTGGGCCAATTCCAAACCTCATTTAAGCCACTTTAAGCCATTTTGCAACCAGATGTTTGACTCAAGCTGAAGAGGTTACGGTTCAAAAAGTGTTGGCTTTCCCTATAGGAAGCTGAAATTGGACATTGACATCCTTATTTCATGTACAGAGATCCTCAAAAAAGCAAAAAAAAAAACAAAAGTATCAACGAAACGCCTCCAGTATCCCGAAGCGGCCCGGAGGAATGGACCACGTCCCATCGCCCAGGTGGAAAGAGTTACAATGGGCCAACTCGGCGGAGGCCGAACGGGGCCACGTCGGAAGCGGTGGAACGCATGTGTCCGTTTGTTTTTGGCTCTCTAGGAACCCTAGTGGCTTGGTGTATGGAAGGAAACTTGACTAGAAAACTCATGTAAAACAAAGAACATCATGGACTGGTGGATGAAGACGGATTACTTATAGAGTTTATGTAGTTTGAGTTATGTTTGTGCTTTTTATCTTCCCAAAATGAATGGTTGGTTGGGTAGGGACATTTTGGGAT